GGCGACTATGAAATCAGTTGTTCTCGGTTAGGTTTTTAAGTGAGAGTGCCCAGGGCATGATTAGACTGAAATTCATCGATATAATTCGGTTGAGCTTAACCATTTATGCTTAGATCAGCGACTCAAAATTACGAGTCGAATTATCTGAATATAAACGTAGATTATGGCTTTTCTCCCTTTTGCTGACAAAGAGGAATGATAACATTCACGTGGTATTTCCAAAACCCATTTTTCTTAAAACAACTCCAGATAGTTGCTGGAAACTTATCCGGCAGGATGCAAAATGTATTCAAAATAATAACAAAAGACGACGTTCGACAAATATTAACTTTCTCCGATAAAATTCAGCCGAGTATCTTCAAGTTCTCGTCAAGTTACAAATTCAATTTGCAAGTGTGACTGAGTTACCTAACAACATCCCAGACACTCTCTCGCTTTCTTCGGGAATGGATGCGTGACATTTTTTCCTCCTCGAAGACTTTCAATTTGTTTAACGCAATTGTCCGACAAGTTTTCGAGCTTCGCCCGAAAGGACGAGAGCTTATTCGGCGTTCGGTTAATCCGTGATCATTAATTGGTCGACATGCGCTAATGAGGCACGTCGAAGTCGCTTTCTTGCGCCAACCGAAAAACCGTATTTTGCACTTGGCAAATTCGAAATATTCACCTGAACTAATGCATTTTTTATGGCAGACACAAAGCCAAACGGAAATATCGCATTCACTGCGACACAGAAACGGTTTCTCTGCCCATGTAAAACGATTTGAAAGAGCCGAATTTATATTCAACGTTTCACTATTTATAAGCCAACGGGTAAGTGTTGAAAATGTTCGTCAATTGAGTGCTACGTGAACGGTATATTTTGTATTTAAAAAAACCTATTTGGGGGCCTCTAAAAGCCAAATCGAAAAAACAATTTACATTACTCTCGGGCAATTAATCTGGTAAAATAATTCATTAAATCCACCTGCACCAAGGCTATGTGTTTTCCATAAAATGCCCGTCAGCAAACTAAAAACTTTTCCTGCTAAACTTTCAATGATTAATCGTCGTTCCTTAGACTGCAGGAATTGCAAACCAGGACTATCCATGTCATGGGACAGGCTCTGATGAAGGTCGTTTTAAAATTTAAATTTCGACTGGAGCTGGTGATAAATTACTTGTCATATTAGATTGGATTCGGGATAAAAGTGCAGATAATAGTGCCTCGAATGAGCTTTTTAATTTAGTTGTAGAGACAGTTTTTATCCCAAACCCTCCACCACGCTGACGTCACATCCATGCATATTTTCCACATCCGGAAACAATGTTCGGCTAATGACTGGAATTATTGGCAGTTTCAAAAGATCCGCCCTGCTCTTTGTTTGCCATCCGGAGATTTATCGGGATTTTGTCTTAGAAAAACGCTCGAATGCATTTTTTTTCGGTTCCGCAGAATATTTCCAGACATGGCGACACCACGGCTCCCAGTGATTAATGAGCTGTGATCACAGCAAAAAGTGGCGAATTGTGAGCGGAACAATCCGTGTTATTGAGGCAGCATCGCCCAAACTCGCTTTAAAGTTAAATTGAACCTTGGATTTTGATGGATTATGTCTTATATCCAGCCGCAGGGCTCTTATTTTGTTTTTTTTCGCACCCGTTGCGGAATTTTGTATCTTCTTATTGCTGAGCGGCATTTTTTTGCGCGGTGAAAATTGCCGAAAAGTATCGCACAAAGAAGGCTTTCAGCTTCTTTGTTTAGGACACTTGCGCTACAGCAAACACGTTAAGGCTGCGAAGCATATTATTTTTCGAATCTTATCGTTTCCGTTCTGGAAACTGGACCAACACTCTTTCAGTTGCGATTTTCGGCGCCCCAAATACATCAAACAGTGTTGAAAGTTTCCATTTTGAACATAAACTGATAATTTTTCGTGGAATCCTGACTGGGCGTAGGAAAAAACACTGCAACCTTTTTGTCAGAGAGGCTTCAGCTTCAGCAAAAGCAAAAAAGCGTTCATGTTCTTTGTTTTGGACTTTTGCGTTGAAGCAATACAAAAACTGCGCATTTTAAGTCTCTATACAACAATGACAACTGGAACTTTGCAGCTCAACGATGTTAATTAATTATGAATTTTTGCGTTTTGCCTGAAAGTTAGAAAATTTTCTAAATTGATTTTTTAAGCTGTATCAGGCAATCACGACCAGAGCTTTGCACCTCAACAGGTTCTCTTGCAGTCATTTTGACGGTTTTCAAGACTTGCAGTACTTTTAAATTTTCCGATTTTACATGGAAACTACAAAAATCTCTAAAGTGACGTTTGATATCAAAATGTGCATATTTTAAGGGCCTGCTTAGGTAATGTTGAGTTTTCACATTTTGCATGGAAATTAGAAAGATTTCTAAAATGATATTTGATATGAAAATGTACGCATTTTAATGTTTTATTTAGAAATGAGAACCAGATCGTTCGAGCACAACCGGTTCTCAAAATATGACCCAAAGCCTAACAAGGGTTTTCAAGACCTGCAGTAATTTTCAATTTTCGCATTTTGCCTGGAAACATTTCTAAAATTATGTTTGATATAAGAATGTGCGCATTTTAAGTTTTAAAGGTTTTATTTAGAAATGACAACCAGATCTTTCGAGTCCAGCCGGTTCTCTAAATATGAGTCAAAGACTAAGAGCGGTTTTCAAGATCTGCACTAATTTTGATTTTTTTTTAAATAATAAAAATTACGGTAAACTTTAAACGAGTTCGACATTGTTACAGGCTAAGCAACTTTTCCAATGTTTCTGAATAACCCCGATTACTGTTGTCATGTTTCTTTAAAAAATATCGTTGCCAAAAGGCGAACGAGTGCCGAGTTAGAAATAGAATCACCCGCAATGTTTAGAAAACTTCTCTAGATGCCTTTGATGATTGAAAATTTAACTACTTATCTCACATCGCGATAATTTAGTCCAATGAATAAAACTGGCATTATAGTCAAGCACTTTTTATGAGGAAAATCCCCTTAAATCCTTCAAGAAAATGGAATATCGGAAGGAAGTTCGCTTTGTTGGAAAAAAGCGTAATGCGCTCCAGTTGCATTTCCTGCAGGATTTTGGTTTGAAGGCGAATTAATTATGGGATGAAGCCTGAAGCCTCGTTGAATTTGATGCAGTAAAGAGCTTAAGAAAGTTTGAGAGGTTTCCGGCGCTAAATAATGAGTAATCTGTTAAGAGAAGGCCAGACTATGAATAATACTCGACATTTACTTTTAATTAGCATGGAATGGTTCGTCATTTATCATTTGACCGGAAAGTTGCACCGTCACTTTTAAAAGTCGATCCAGCTGAACTTTTGGACCACATCAGGCAAAATGAAAATGCTTCTGAAAATTTAATTACAAGTGCTTCTCACCTGCGATTAGCTGATAATTGGATCCCATTTATAGCCGACATTTTCTGGACTAGAAAGGTGTTCGACGTCGAAGCTAATTCAAATAGTGACAGGCCCTTAAGGAAAATAGTGTATTTATTAAAGCCCTTTTATCGGGCGCGCCTAGTTAACTGTTGTGCGAAACTAAATTTACTTTTCTCGTTTGGAAATCTCCCAAGCTAATTGCCATGTTAATCACTTCCGCGGTTCTTGCGGACTAAAACAGGCAAAGGCGTCGCAGGCTGAATAATTCTTGTTGCTTAGTTTGGGTTGATGGACTACTTCTGAATGGAAAATGTTTATAAATCGCCTGCCCACATTGGGAACGGGTTGGAAAAACTCTAAAGAGGCCAAGTAAGTTCGTGACAGGGTGGTTATTTCCTAAAGTCGATTTGTTTGATGTGGACAATTTTCTTTACTCGCTCGAGGAAGTGCTTGTTTAGTTGTCAACATGCAAGGACACAGAAATTTGTGTTTGTTGATCGAATAATTTCAGTATCAAGGCCTTACATGCGCATTTTCCAGATATTTTCCGAAAGCCGCCCCCGACGGGAAAGCATTTCAATTGTCTGAAAGCTCTAGAATTTGCAAAATAAAAATGCGAGCACAAATATGGCTCGAGTGCTCTGAATAGTTTCCAGCCTTAAACACACATCCAGACATTCGTTCGCAATAGTAACACGAGAGATTTATTTCTGCGTAGTATTGGAGCATTTTAGCCGACAATTGAAAGTTCGATGATTATGAAGAGTAAGTTAGTTGTTCTGTTACAGGGGCTGAGGATGACGTTCATCGGTTTTCCGGAAACGACACCCACACCGACTACTTCCGGTTGGTTATGAGGGATGGCGAGTCTCTTCTCGTCGGTGGCAGGTGAGTGAAAAGCGATTGCACTTTAATGGCTCTTTCCTCCTTAAAGTTAATGTCGTTTGTGTGCTAGTGGCTGGTAAGACAGTTAGAAACCGGTCCCAATGCGCCTCCGTGTTTACCGCAACTTTAAATTACAAAACACTGTACTAGAAACTCGTAATTTTCCGAGAGCAAAGTTTTGCATCCGGAAACAGCTTCTTCTCAGCAATATAAGCCGTTGGAGTCATTAAGCCCTGAAAGCACATTGGAACGTAACTCCAATAAAACCTGGAACCAAAGCTCGGCCCGCTGCTGATATTAATTTCCTCAAAACGAGTTATGCTTATTTGTAGGGGCTGCCGTAGCATGTCCAAGTCCCTAACTGTCGTTTACGATAATTAATCCGAATGCATTTTCGAAGTTTCCCAATTAGGATTGAATTCAGGCGGCCGGAACTGCAATAACGTTGTTCTATTCGGCCCAATGCGATTCTCACATGCGGCCACTCACTTCAGGGGCGACACTGGAATGTAAGAGTTTCTCTCTATGTGTCTGTGTGTGTACATTTCATTAACATTAACATTAGTGGCTAATGGATGTTGATGTTGTTCCGAGCCTATAATAACTATAAAGTAGCCCCCAGATTAGTGTTTCTTTCTTGAACCCACTTAGTGATTCCTTAAACCGAAAAAAAGTGTGTGCGTCACGGGACGCTCGACAGAGGTGATAACTTCATATATTTATAGAAACCATAAAATATTGAACTTGTTTAACGCATTGTTAGTCTAATAATTTGTAAATGGATCAGGAATGGGTAAAATTTAATTTAATTTCCTTTTGAATGTAAAAGATCTTTTTTATTGGCGTATCTATTTTATTATTTATTTTTATTTTTTATTCTTTGAGTGTTTTGTGTAATGGTCTTGAGGTTTCTCCTACATAAAATTTATTGCATTCGCAAGGAATTTTTAAAGTAAATAGTAATAATTTTTAACGGTAATTTTTCAAATTAATTTCTCTACTAATTGGAAT